GTTGCACAGAGACCGCGGAGAGGTGTGATGTGATGTAAGGGAGCGATTTTGTTTATGGTGTTCTCATGGGCTCTTTTTGCTTTTCTTCTTCTTTGGGGATTTACTTATCAGCTGCATACTGTTTCATAATTGAAAAACAACTATCCATGACACTTTTATCGCAGGAGCTGTCTTTAAAGCAAAATATCTAGGAAGGCATTCGAAACTTTGACCGCTATGATGGGCAAAAAATGAACAACTAGACAGGATAGATAATGGCAAAGCATAGTAACGATAAGGGGGCAGGAACATCGCAAACAGCCCGCCACACTGTAAATGTGGAGAGTGCTTGTTGAGGCGCTGTTATTCGACGCCTGGGGGGGGGGCATTTTTTACTACCATTGCTTCCCTAGTTCCGGTTCACAAATCTCACCCTGGAGCCACCATCCTAAAACGTGTCAACTCGAGAAAAAGCTACCTAGGTGGGTCGGCACGTCTATGGGAAGCAGAATGCCCTCCCCCCGTCGACAAACTGCGCCGCTTGTTGCATACCTACAACTTATTTCCTCTTGCCATGACTCCCAACCCAACCTTCCTCAATATTGAGCTACTCTGTGATGGAGGTTTTACCAGATATCCCCCACAAAGATCTGTAAAATTGAGTCGGTTGAACGAATGCATATGTAGCTCTTCCTAACGATATCATAAGCCTTATCAGTGCTCTGCCGCAACGTTCAGTAAATTAAATTAAACTAAAGCAAACTCCCAGTGAGCTTCTAATTTTCCGCTTATGTGAAGAAGAAGTTCACTGGTTAGTTGTCAGCCGTTGTAGTTTAGTTTAATCTACTTGTTATATCATCTGACTAGAGTAACAAGCTCCCATTTCAAGCCTGACGAAGGTGTTAATCATTGAAACATAGCAAGATTATTATTTTTCAGAAACTTTTGAGGTTTTGGGACCATTTTTTAGACCCTTACGTTGCTGTTGAATGTTTAGCATAGTGTGATTTTCACTTATTTTGATTACCCATCAACACTAATCCATTCGTCACTCATTACATGTTTCTGTCTTCGTTTCAAACTTTATACAGATTGTTTCTGCTTTTCATTATATCGTGCAATAATAAATATAAATTATTGAGTTGGGATCGCAGAAAGTCGACACTGCACATTGAGACCAATCACATTTAATATACAACATTCGAGAAATCCATACCGATGAAATATTAAGAGCGCTCGAATGTTTGAGAAATCCATACCGAAGAAATATGAAGAGAACTCGAATGATTGAAGAGATGACAGTAAATATTCTGGGATCAACGAGACGAAGAGGACTTTGATGAGGAACTGTTTTTCTTAGAATCCGATTTTTCCTTGCTGCTCGCGACTCCTTCAGCATCGCTTGTAATTTAAATAAAATACAGCCAGCACCGGATTAAAAACGAGTCACTGCACGTGGCGGACCATTGCCTGCAAGGCCGAGAGATAAACATTTCGACGCCTACAAAAACATACCATTAAGAAAGAGATTAATTATCATACGTTTGGGCAATCCCGTCTTGTGTGATGTGGCGACGCATTCATACTTCAATGAGGAATAGCAGACGCGGGGGCCAGCCGATGTACAAGTCAGTGTTCTTATCCTCCCAGACGAATCTGGTACCAATTACCATCCCGGGGTAGAATGCTTGGTTGGCTTGGGCGGGGGTCGACCTGGCACTTTAACTCAGGGCCGCGCGAGTGGTAGATGCACCGCTTGTCACTACACCACCTCCTGCCCACAAAACAATACATCCCTTAATTTTTATTTAACCGACCGTTTGCGAAAAATTTTCTCGCAGTTTGTCTTTCTGCAATAACTTCTGAGCAGCAAAAGCACACATGACATATGCTAGACCTTGCCGACAGGGAGCAGATCATGTTCCGAGGGTGAGGGGTGAAAGTTCACAATTCGATTCTAAAGCAGCCCCGTGGGTGGAGAGGAAGTGGACTAACAAGTGAGGTCTTTCAGGTCATGGCGCGCTTTTTAGAAATTATTGTTGCATGTTGTAGGGGTCCATACAAGGATCACAAAAATGGGTTTCATTTTTGCTATGCATTTTTGGGAATGTCAAAAAATGCGTGAAAAGTTTGCTTTTTGCTTTTAAAAGTTTGCTTCAGAGAAAAGGCGACTTTGAACCATTTTTCTAGGCTCTTTTCTATTTCTAATGTTGAGTATGCATAGCAAATGAGACCTTCGTCGACACTGCATCGAAAACAATACAAGTCAAGGTGAAAAAGTACTTTATTTGGCACACAGTGAGGCAGCATTGTAGTTTCTCAAGTGATTCTCGCAGCATCCCAACCCGCAGCTGGGGGGGGGGTATTCAGAGCCATGTTGGCGCCAAATAGGCCTAGGCGCCAATTATAAAGGTCAGAACCGTGATCAGGGCCGTTAATAACCTCTATATACAGACTTTCAGCGAAATTTTTCTCCTCGAGCTGTTCGAGCTATGATGGTTGGTCTTGTTGAACTGGTGGCTATCAGTATCCTGTACAAGTAGTTATCCAACTTCGATACCTGGACCTTTCTATTCCAGTTCGCCATAACCCTGACCCTTTGCGTAACTAGTATATACCCTCGATAACTAAAAACAAAAAAAACTACAAATTTTAAAACAGGAGACACATATGTACTTGCGCGCAATATCTTCGCCTGGAAAGTTGAAGTGGGTTACGCTGGGTGCGCTGATCGGGTGCCACTGTCAACCAAGTGGTCGGTCCATTATCACCAAAACCTCCGAAATTTCTTTTTTTGCTGGAAGTTCGTATACAGGAGTAAGCCCGGCTCACGATTCTGACACTTATTTTATGCGGCGAGGCCATTTGACGCCAGCATGACGCTTAACAGCCCATGCGTGTTACAGCGATTTCAGTGCAAGGATGCTCTTGCAGCAAATCGGCGTAAGGTTGCGCCGTGGTCAAAAGTGGAGCGTCCGTACTCGTGAGTAGCGCATCCACTTCATCACGTAGCTCAACTATTATAAGCACAGAGGTTCCTCAGTAATGTTTCGAGAACGCAGATATGGTTACGGGTCGACTCGTGAACTATGAGTGTATAGAATGAGGTCCTAAATGGCATTTATCCATGTTATATACATCATCACGCACGCAGGAAACAAGGAGTCTCGATAACGCGAGGAGGATTCGATCCATAAAGCACCTTTCCGAGAGTACACTATCCACTCCATCATCCATCGACCACGAAACTGTAGTTGCGGGAGTCGTTGATATTAACTTCAATACTAGTTCTTCTCCATGCACTTTCTTTTTGACTTTATTTTGCTCTCTTTTCGATACATAGTTAAGGAACACCTCATAAACTATGCACTCTCAGTTGCAGCTACAACAGAGCCCAATAAGCCGGTTAAAATCGGCCTTTCTTCTCAAAATGTTTTCACTCATTTTTTGGCATTCCCATAACGCATAGCAAAAACGAAACCCATTTTGTGACCCTTATATGGACCCCTACAACATGCAACAAACCATTTCTAAAAAGCGCGCATGACCTGAAAGACCTCCCTTGTGAGATAGCAGGGCGTTGGAAGACGAAACTGGGAGATACAATTCAGAGGAGGGGTAGAACTTGTATTTTTACTAGTTTCCCTCGTTATTTCTGTTAAATTACACGTTTCAGACCTGTAGACACATGTCGAGTGTAAACGAGATTTCAGTTCTCTACACTAGGCATCGGCACTGATCGATGAATGCAGGTGAAATGCCCTACCAGACCAAACTGCACCCTGACTTCTATCAAAATTCCTTCTCGGAATCAGATCAGACTGGAATCGATTCCCTCTGAGATCGATTCACTTCCTGTACGCGGGTTTCACTGGCTGGTACGAAAACGCCTGACACCCGCGCCACAGGCACCGTTGTCAAAACTCGTCCGTAGAGCAATCAGCTGTAGTGCGAGAGCCAGACGTTATTGTGCAGAATGAATGTGATCTTCGTATTAAAGAGGTTAAATTATCCCTCGGCGTCCCCTGACAAGCGAAGTTCGAACTCAGATTTCAAAAGTTGTAAACAGTGAGGAGTGAATAGCATATAGTCTCCTGCGCCTTTTTGCTTAGAATAGGTGAATTTGAAGGGCTCGAGTGTTTTAAGTTTAGCCACTTAATTTCAAAGGCACGGTAAAAAGCCTAGATGATGTTGCAGAAATGTGGTAAGAAAATTCATCAAGTGAACCGTCTATGAAGAGAAAATGCCAAAGGGAACGTTGGAAACGCATTCGTCAGGCCTCCTCTAGCCTCAAACAACTGTAGAGGTAAAAGACCGAAAAGACCGCGCGCTGGGACGATTCCCGTCGGCTGATTCCCAGTAATGAACCCTATGACTCTACAAGAGACATTGAATGCATCCACTCCATGATACTTGCCCGGGAGCATTACTTTTGGCTGGAAGGCCGACTTTGGAGGCGGAGTCTGGAAAAAGGGATGTACCACTGAAGCAACTTTGCGCTTTAGACCCGCCGCGAAACTGACATAGGGTTGTCCACTTCGGACTGTGCTACGTTCTTACATAACCTCCAACATTTTCATAGGTCCGGACCGTTCCTTTGGAGGAGAATTTGTTACCATTGGGACGCACTGCGCACTCTGTTGAGGTAAGTTCGTAATTCATACACTTCTTCAATTGCAGTGCTCGCCTTGACAGTTTGAAAATTTATACCTTCACTAGATTGACTTTGGAGAGATTCAACACTTTGTTTTGTGCTGCAGTGTATGGTTTCGCATTCTTTTACCACGTCAGGCGCGCAGTAGAGTGCGCCAGCCTAACTGGTGTTAACATAGATATCCATTTCGTGAAGTCACAATCTGTCCGAGGAAGGGATCGCAGGTATCGCCCCAAAACGACGATTTTCCCGACTTCCGATCAACTCATGCAGAACCCACTTGCTAGAACCCTCATAAAAACGCACGGGAGAAGCTTTGCTATAGTGTATGGTGCTTCGAAAAGTAGTCTTAGCCTGTTAAAGTGAAAGTGTTGGAGAAAAACTGCATTTTTTCAAAGAGGAAGTGTTGAAGAAAAACTGCTTTTTTTGCATCAGCCCAATATTTGGGCATTCTTAACTTTGCAACACTAGCTCTCAAGCCGAATGGTGCCAAATAATCGGCTAGGAAAGAATTAAGTCGACACTCCAATGTCCAGCATCCCTCCTTTCTCCAACTCCAAAAGAATTCATATGAGATTGTTTTTGATAAAATGCTTGAACAAAAAACTCGATGCTCATTGTTATACCGGTTGAACCTTACAAGGTTATCCGTGAAGGCTGCGTTGGCGACTATCATTATAATGACGTTACCAATGGCATTCGTTAGCAACCAGATTGCTTGTACGATGGACTTCATTTCAATGGAGGCCTGGAATGTTTTTGTTATTATTGTTTACAAGAATAGTTCTATCTGAACAGAACAATTATTTCTGAAACCATAACACAGCACCAGTTTGGCTTTGAGTACCTTGTAATACGACCAGTATCTTTCCTTTCTGTGCAACCTGTCGAATAAGGGTCTTTTCAGATTTTCTGGGACATCAACCTATCACCCTCTGAGAAAAACGGTGTTTCAAAGCGAGACGGATAAAGTGAAGACCACCTTAATAGGCCCACAGAAAGGGTGTTTTTGCCGTTTTACTGCCATCATAACATGACACGTCACGATCGTGATTACGTTTTATCCATTTCTTTTCTTTTACTTATTTTCTTTTGCTTTTCTCTTTTTCGTTCTCTTTTGATTACACAATCATGAGTTAGGGGCATGTTTCGTGGCGGACGTGCAAGCGCAGCCACTTTCACAGGTGCACCCTTCAAATCGATTGACCTCTCACTTCTATGATGGTGAAGAAGAGGAGCAAAACATCCAATCCAGGATAGGTCCAAGTGGTGCTTTTCAATACTGCACCGTGTACATCATCGAGGCAATATGCTTTCTTGACAGTCTTTGTCGACAGTGTGATCGGAGCCAGTGGTGGAGTTCAAGTTACCGCAAGTCTCAGTGTCAAGCATTTTGTAGCGCAGGGCACCGTAAGCGCCGTTAATGCGTCAAGTTAGACATCAAGGCAATTACCTCCGTTTCCTAACAGTAATCCTACCTCTTTATTCTACCAGTCGGATCGCCCGGCTGTCGCCGGGCGCTCCTCCTTCTGTGACATGGCCCGGCGAAGCCGGGCCATGCGGATTTGCCGCGTGCTAAGTTAAGGATCGTTGACCAACCACACTGTTCAAAGGAATCTTCTGCATCAGCCAAGAACTGAAAAGCAGCGCTCGTTCCGTCAAGACGCAGAAGCAGCAGCAGCGCCCCGCATCACAGAAGGAGGAGAGCCGGCCTTAGCCAGCGATCCGACTGGTACGTTCATAACCCGTCTTGCTTTGGAATGCACTCCCGCATTCAGCAGTGGAACCCTTTAAATGGCCCTCACTAAGGTTGTTGATGGAAGATAATTGTGGTAAGAGTGATAAAGTCATTGCTGCTGTTCATAACATCTCTGTAAACAAACCCATGCATTTGGAATAGAGCTAGCTTAGCGGTCGTACATGATGTCGTTACTAATAAGCAGTGAGGAATGAGTTCTGTTGGAATCATTGAGATCGTTATACTTGAGTCATATCGATCGCATTGTTGTTGTGAGCGGTGAAGCGGATTTTCCCATGTTACCTTGTCACTTTTAGCTCCTATCACTTCCGTACCCGCCAATAATACTCCCGTCCCACATCCTGTAGCACCTCTCGGATCCAAGGTCCCGCTGTTGCTGTAACCTGCGTTACGAATTTGGTGTCCTTCCCTTCTAATGCCCATTATCAGATCTTATCAGCTGATATCACATCCTGTCACCCGCAATAATGTTCCCATCCCAAACCTTATATCACTTATCAAAACCAACGTCCCACTGTTGCTGTCACCCGCGTTATGAATATGGTGACCTCCCCCTTCTAACGCCTCTTATCGTATCTTATCAACTGATATCACTTCCTGTCACCCACCAATAGTGTTCCCGTCACACCGCCTACATCACTTCTTGAAATCAATGTCTCACTGCTACTGGGACCGGCGCTATGAATTTCGTGACACACAGACAGACGCACACACAAACATACACACACAGACAGACATACTTAGTGAATTATATAGAGTAAGTAGGACGGGTAAGTCATTTTCGTCCATGCAAGTACATGTTTCCATAGGGGCAAGCAAGTTTGATTCAAACAAGCTGTTTGTGTTGAATTATTCAAAGGCGCTGGCACGATGAAGCCCAGGTATAATTGATATGCCTGGCAAGAGGGAATTCTGCGCCTGCGAATTCTGCGCAACGCCCTTACCAAGGGACGTACCCTTATAAGGACCCTATCAAGCTACAACATACCGACCCGCCCACCACGCCCGCCCGCCCACAAATGGACGACCGTTCCTGACGCTCGTATTGATTCATTTGCTAAGCAAATTATGAAGCGAAGGGATTGGTATGAAGCACCGGCGGTACTCCATGGGTATACAGGGGGGGGGGACCAAGGAAAAAAATACACTTTTCTTCCTTCGACTTTCAAGGCGCTATAAGTAACACTTCATTGAATTCTGATTGGACATTTCCACCATGATGTTCAACAGCGTGGTACACTTTCACGATACGTCGCACACCATCATGATACTCCGTCATGGGCGAACGCCATCAAGAGATTCTGTTCAGCGAGATAGCTGATTTCTCCGCCACAGTAGACCACCCTGTTGAGCTCTTCCCGGACCCGGCAATCGTGGAGGAGGCAGGGGTCTAGATCACGTAACACACTTGGATATTCCGTTTTCTTCAGGTTTCCAACGCCCTTCGATTCCACGTGCTGGCACCCAATCCTGTAGCAGTACGAAGTTTCCAAGATGGTACAGGCGACGACATGAAGGCAGGATATTCTCCTCGAGTTGGTCGATGTAACCGTCAGCGTTCACTTTCAGTCCGGGGTCCACGAAGAAAATATCGGTCTTCCATTCCAGGAAACTTCCGGTCCATACCATCAACCCGCGCCTTGGCGACTGTGGTGAAGATGATGTCCTAGACCGTAGCGACGTTGTCGGAGTTGCTCATATTGGGGGCCTTCCAGATGAGAAGTGTTGGACCCGAGGTAGCTGCTCATGGGTGGCTCCATACAAGAGGTCTCGCAGCTTTTTTGGAGGTGACGTGGGTTTTATAGGCCTTTTTCAGTTCGGCTGCGATTGGAAGATGTCTTTATATTTTGGTGTACATGAAGGTGATGGACGAGAGCCTGCTCCTGCTTATCGAGGAACATCTTGGGTATCTTCCGCCCTGGTACTCGTATCCACGTCTTCTATATGGGCTGCGTAAACTTTGCTGATATGTGACTCAACCTCCGACCGTCGACAAGTGTCTTTTTTAAGACCCCCCTTGTATGAGTCAACCGTCGACAAGTGTCTTTTGTATAGCCCCCCTCCCCTGTATGAGTGCACACATGCACCGTACCTTCAGTAGCGGTTATTGGTAAGATGCCTACGGGAAACTCGTCCGAAATTGATTTTTTAGTCATGAGAACGAAGGCTTTTTCTTCGCAGGATTTTGACCGTTTCACTCCGTTCTTTCGCCATTTTCCCACTACGTAGCGCCCAGCTAGCCAATTGGGCCAAGTACCAAATTATCGTGCCAACTGCTTCGAGCGCTATAACTACGCTACGATGAATTTATGCTGGTTTCGATATTGTTGGCTAAGTATGCTAATAACTCAAAGTCTCACACATCCAGGTCTTCACAACGCTGGTTCTGCTCCACAAAACTTAACAATGACATTCTCATCTGTGAACTCTGCATGTTAGTTCTTCTTATATTCAGTATGTTTTGTTGTGCCTGTCAAAGTTTTTAGGTGGAGCAGTTTATTCTGGCAGCTTGACGTTTCGACGTCTTTTTCAAAGGCTCGAAAGTGCTCCGAGTATCAGAGATGTGTTCGACCCAGCCAAGCGCTTAATCCACCTCAGCATATCCGATGACATGCCCAACCGAGGACCTCACGCAACAGCAAAGAATGCTCACCTCTGACCCACCGCAAACGCGGAATAATCCGCTATACCCTATGTCAACCAGTAGCGAATGGGACTTACTATGGCGTCTCCTTATACGTATCGAAATACGGAGACGCATGTAGCATAGTATGGTGAGCATGGTGAGCTCACATCTCGCCGTATGGTACGAAAGGCAGAAGGTCATTGGAAATTGATGCACATTCGTCTCGGTTGTTCATACGGGGATTTCTAACAAATCCAAAACGCCTCTAATGCTTTCCTCAGCCGCTATCTCCGTCTCCTGCGCCAATATTGTGCATTTTATCGCAAAGTTGTTGCCGTTGTGCACCTCAGCTTTATGCTTCCCAAGCGCTGTCCCAAGATTACCGCGTTTCATGCTGGCTAGATGCTTTTAATACGAGCAAGCGATCGCTCTGTTTCTCCGATATATGTGCATCCGCATGTCTGACATTCAATTTGGTGGACCACACCCGCTTGGGTGCAGTCACCGATTTTTTGCAATCACCGATCCGCCAAAAGGCAAAGGCAGCACACTAATACGCGAGAAAGGCCGCGCCACAACAAGCCGTCCATCTCTGATAAAGTCAGTGCTGCAGTACAACGGAGCCTTTCTAGAGCGCAGTTGCAAGATGTGGGTCAGCTAGTGAGCGTTCCTAACAGGAGCACCAAGCAACAATTATTTCAAATAGGCCCTAAGACAAGTAGTGCATACTAGGAGACTGTATCACTTGTCCGTAGGGAAAAATCGATGATTGCGCTCAAACGGGTGTGATCTACCAGACTAAATGTGTCGGACATGCGGATGCACATATTCCGGAGAAACAGGAAGACCGCTCGCTAAACGTATCAAAGAACACCTAGCCAGCATGAGGCGCGGTAATCTTACGACAGCGCTTGGGAAGCATAAAGCGGAGGTGCATAACGGCGACAACTTTGCGATAAAATGCACAATATTGGCGCAGGAGACGGAGATAGCGGCCAGGAAAGCATTAGAGGCGTTTTGGATTTCTGTTAGATCCTCGTATGAATAACCGAGACCAGTGTCCGTCAATTTCCAATGACCTTCTGCCATTCATACTGCTAGCTGTGAGGTTACCAGTGCTACGTGCGTCTCCGTATTTCGATACGTATAAGGAAGACGCCATAGTAAGTCCCATTCGCTACTGGTTGACATAGGGTATAGCGGATTATTCCGCGTCTGCGGTGTAACAGAGGTCGTAGGTCCTGTTGCGTGAGATTCTCGCTTGGGCTAGAACCATGTCATCGGAAATGCTGGGGTGGATTAGGCGCTTGGCGGGGTAGTACACATCTCTAAAACTCGAAACACTTTTAGGCCTTTGAAAAAGACGATTACGTCGAAACGTCAGGCCGCTAGAATGAACCGTTCCTACCAAAAACCTCGAGAAGCATAACAAAACATACTGAATCTCAGAAGATTTGTTGATGACACTTCGCTGTTCGGCGCTGACCAACCCTACCTTTACAACTTCTTTCTCCTGAGCGGCCGAACATAATCCCCTCTATGGGTTTCTCACAACCATGCCCTGACAAAGGAGGACATTCAGGTCGTGGAGCGCTCTTTCGAAACGTTTGACTGCATGATACAGGGGCCCCTATAAGGATCAGAAATTAGGTTCCCTAAAATCGCCCTCTCTCGCCGAATTTCCTTCATTCTTCTCTTTGCATTCCTAAAAACGCATGGCAAAAATGATACCACTCTCCAAAGTCCTGGTACGGAACCCCTACAACATGCAACAAACCACTTCTGAAAAGTGCACCATAACCTGAATGACCTGCCCTGAGTGAGTGCAACGCTAACCATGATAAATGAAAAAATATATTACAGGGTCCCTTCGAAGCTCACCTCTTGGTAGGCGAACTCAAGTCCGCTCACGCTGATGAGGATCTCGGCTACAGTTATAACGGCGTATTGTGGTAACTGCCAAAGTATACTGACCCTGTTTTCATGTGCGATCGTGTGCACAGTTGTAGTCAAAGTCTGAAACACGGTACCATTTTTTCTACTCCATTATGGTCACTACGGCTGGTATCTCTTGTTCCTTGTACTAAAATCATTTTGAATTAAAAGATTGATCAATATTATGAATTGTTTCTTCTACTACTCATCAACATTATAAATTGTTTCTTCTACTACTCACTCTACACCAATGGTGAAAGTTATCACTGGGTCAGGGTAATTACCAGCCGAACTCACAGGGCAGTCGCAGCACAGGAGCACAGTAATTCTCTTCCACCAATAAGATTTCTTCCGTGCTCATAGACAATGTACACCCACCTCCGATGACGGTCTTGCCATGTCTAATGTGAATGTATTTGCAGTTGAACTAATGTGCCACTTCCCCCATCAAAAAGCATGCAAACGGCTGGAGAGGAGGGGGCTGCCGTTTCCCGACTCCCGCCGCGCTA